ATAATTCAGGCCAATCTTATAATTAAATCAAAGGCAAAGTTTGTTTATTTTAAAATATTAAGGGTTTTTTAAGTTAACTAAATGTCTTATTTTGATATTTTAAAATGAAAAAAATACCCTACTAGTGAAATCCAAAAATCAACTGTATCTAAAATTAACCAAGATAAAAAAGGGAAAAGAAAATGTTCCTTTATTTAAATTTATCGAGAAGAAGTCATTTAATTAAAATTAAGAGCTTGGTTTGGACATATTTAAATAATTGAACAATCTTTATCTTTTCTATATGGATAGATAACTGTAAATAATTTGTTTACATTCTCATTTCTATGGTGTTGCCCTAATATGTGTTTTAAAACTGAATTCTTTAGAAGGAATTACGTATTCCTTTTATTACAATTGGAAAGAGAGACATTGTCGTCTTAATATATTGAAGGGATTATTTCTCTTTAATTGAAAATAATAGAATATTGTCTTTTTCTCCTTAGAATTCTCATTAATAAAGTGACACATGTTCATTTGTTTTGAACAAGAGGATTCTAATTTATATCTAAACACATATTACTATTATTAAAGACAACGTATAATTGATTAGGTACTGATTATGAGTGATTTGGAGGTTCTCATCCTTCTCCACGCGTAATCGACTCTCAAATCCTTTTTAAAATGAATTTGTAGTTACACTCAAACCTATTTTATCTTTTAAAAGATTTTTTTTTAAATCTTTTGAAAAGGGTGACATCAATATCTTACTTTTTTTCAACAATTTTTCAAAACATCAAAGCTCAAAATCATGTTGATACATACATAAGACACATCGATACCAAATATAAAGTATCAATACAAAAGGAAGAGATATTGATACCTCTTCTTGAAAATGTTAAAATTGTATTTGTTTAAAATTTTGGTTGATGAAAACACTTTATTTTATATTTGTATGTTTTGTAAAATGATTCCTTATATTACCGTCGAGTTAAATCCATCAAGTGATTTTAGTGATTAAAGGGAATATTTTTATCCTTAAAAGTCTTGGATTAAAGTAGTTACGTTGAGTGTATATGCGTTGTTAATGACTGTTGGGAAAAAAATCTAAACATATACTATTTTTTAATAACTTGGACTATTAAAAAAATTAATCACCATTGAAATTTGAATTGATAGTTTTAGGTTTTGTTTAAGTGAGGTTGATATTAATTTGCTAGTCACAAATTAATTAAAAATGACATGGAATAAAGTATCTTATTATTTTTTACATCAAAATCATATTTTTTTAACATATTTGTTAAACTTAAAGATTTGAATTTTCCGGATCCCAAGTATCACCGGCCTTCGTCCATGATAGTTAAGTTTTATCTAAAAAATATGGGTTAATTACCCTATTCATACATGAAGTATACTCAATAATTCTCAGTTTCATTCATAATGTTGAAAAAAAACTCGATTTTATACATGGTGTTTTCTACTATTAACATGTTCATCCATTTCTGTTACAGAAGGTGACGTAGCACTTTAAATGGGTGTCACATGGCACGTGGCATGCATGTCACCCATTTTCGAAGTACGACGTGATATTTTATTAAGGGTTTCACGTCATCTTTCGTTACGGAAATGTGTGAACCTATTAACGGTATAAAATATCATGTATGAAATTGAGAATTTTTAAACATTATGTATGAAACTGAGAATTGAATATACTTCATGTATGAATAGGATAATTAACCCAAAGATATATTCACATTATGTTATTTAAATAAAGCATAAAAACAATTTTTCAGTTAAGCACTGGTTGTTAGTTGTAAACTTAAATAAGACAACCCCTCGATGACCTAATCACATTTAAACATCTTAATTAGGAAAAGGGTCGAGCACAACATAGCAAAGTTGGGTAGAACATGTTCAAATTATGGGCACTAAATAATTTTTAAAAAAAAATTGGTGTCCTCTCCGTTTTTCATGGCTTTGCTCTGATTAATTCAGACATACTCGTATTGTACACTTAATTTTGGTGAGTGAGTCTTCTAATGAGAATTGACTAATTTAGATCGACTAGTGTTGTACACCTAATTCAAATGTTATTTATCTACTTTCTAAGATTAATTATGTATTGTTAAACTTTTTTTTTCAATAATGATTGTAATATGTTACTTTGGTGTATTTATGGATTATTATTTTGGTTGTAATATGTTAGTTTGGAGTAACTTTTCTTTAACAATGACAATTGGATTTCATTAATAAAAATAATAGAATAAATCAAAATTACAATGCACCAAAACATAGAGAAAAATGGGGACAATAGTCACCAAAAACTCATACATAAAATAAAAATATTAAACTCAAAGATACAAAGAAAAGCGAAACACTCCCTTAAGAATGACATCCAACATCAAAAGAACCAGTAACCTTCATAAAACTAGATGTCTCTGTATAACGAGACACTTTACGAAGTGATAAAGGAGTGGTGATCGAACTAAATAATTTGACAGGCTACTTCGCTACACAATTATTATTATATCGGCAAACAACTTTTACCAAAGAGAATATCTAACAATAAGTGATTATCGACAAACTAATCATTAAACAAATGTCATGAGGATATTTGCGCAAGCACTAACACAACCGTAAAGGTATGAAACAAATGTACAAAAAGCTATAAAGAATGTGCCACAAGAATAGAGAAAAATCATGCCACAAGAGTATAGATTCTTATTTAAAATATAAAAAAATCAAGAAAAAAATAAAGGACTATGAAAAAATAATATATAATAATCATCTACGGTCGACAATTAATATTAGGATTGATGTCGTCACCGACTAAATAAAAATTAAAATGGAAAGAGGAAGGCAGTACAAAATTATTGAGAGAAAAGGTTTTTTTGTTATTAATCTGGGGTAAGTACAAGGTACTATCTATTCAAAGATAACTCTCAACCATATGACATTGATCGCTTGTACTCCTGGCATTGCCGATGCTCAAACTCGGGAATTTAAGGAATAAAAACAATAAGATAAAAATAAGAGAGAAAACCTCTTTGGAGTTTAAACTTTGAAATTATGTCATTCACTATTTTGATATTTTTTGTTCAATTTATTAATTTATGTTTATAATATAAGCTCTATATAGTACTATTAGATTTTATATATATTTAAAAAAATAAGATAAAAATTCTAGTGAGTTTAATAAGCAATGAGTCGGACAACAAGTTTTTATAACAAGCACTAATCAAATAAAAATTTATCAAATTTATTGAATATAGAGTCGAGCACAAGTCGAATAATTTTTAATTCAATAAGCACCTATAAAGTGAAGTAAAATTAGGGATGACAATAGATCCGGTTGGGTAGGGTTTTTCTTCAACCTGACCCTAACCGAAATATATATACCTCCACCCAAACCCGCCTCGACCAAAAATATATATCTTCCAACAGACCCAATTTTTTTTAGAGTATAGATCCTACTCGACCCAATCTGATATAAAATAAAGACCTAATTTAAAATAAAAACTATAGGGAGAAGGGTATTATAGCAATTATCTATAAATTTATTTGAAAAATTACACTATCATTCTCGGGTTGAGTCAGGTCAAAGATTGTTCATCCTCTGACCTCACCCGACCTTCCTCGACCTCACTCCTATATAAAATTCGATCTGATTCAATCTGACTCGAATCTGATTTTTTTAAAAATTTTGACCTTGTTAAATTAAATTAGATCAAAATTTGTTGATTTCAAATTAAATCTTCACCCCCACATACAGTGTCGGATACACTAAGGCCCATATGGGCCAAATGAATCCCATTATTTTAAAAAAGTAGTTAAATTTAGTTTGATGTGTTAAGGAAAAAAATTACAATTTTTGCATACTTATTATTTTAATAAAAAAAATTAAAATTTTAAATTTTATTTTTAAATTTTTGGATCTACCACTGCTCACATACGAATACAAAGGAAATACAGCATTGAATATTTTATTGGACAAAGTCTGGCATGTTCTTTTCTTTTTCCAGTGCAACATCTTATCCTAATTCCATCTTTCCTTCCAAAAAAAAAAATTGATAGGCTCTCGTATGTTAGGTGAGGACAACCGCAACTTCAAATGCTCAATTTTCCTCGACACCATCATCAAACACTGTTTATATTTTTTGATATTTTAATTTTAAAATTAACGATATGTGACTGACCGCTTTCTCAATGTGACGCAATGATTTGTGTTTTTTTGAAGTGAGACCCATGCGACATATGAGCCCACATTCCAGACCCTAAAAGTCAGCACTACGCTATGATCAAATCAATTTTGTTTGGGTAAATAACACAATTAATCCCCTGATTGTAAAGTATTATGTTGTAGAGTACTCTTACTATTAAAAGTTATAAAATAATTATTTGACTATAGGTTGTTGGTTTGTTGAGTTCTTCAACTATTAAAAATTACAAAAATATTGCTCAACTATTTGTATGTCCTAAATTCATCCTTTTTTGTTAAAAAAAGTTGTTCAGCTGAACATTAACCTATTGATTGAGATATGATAAAATCTGATCTCATAATTGCTTGAGTTGTATTTTGTGGATCGACTCTCCATTTACATTATATTGTCGAGCCATTGCTTGGAATATTATGTTAGTGAGTCAATGCTCGAAAGCAACAACAGTGTTAGTAGGAATCATTAAAATATAATTTTATCGTATCTCATTAGCATGTTAAGGTCTAGCTCAGACAACCGTCTTTTTTTTAACGAAAAATAATGAGTTTGAAACATATGAATAGTTGAGTGACCATTTTGTAACTTTTAACAATTGTGAGACTCAACAAAATAATACCCTATAGTCGATATATCATTTTCTAATTTTAATAGTTGAAAGAGCACCTTATAGTCGGCACCATACCATTTGTATACTTTTTCCTTTTTTTTCTATTTTCCAAATAGTTGACGAATTTGGGTAAGACCACAATCCCCTCTGGAAATGATTACAAGTAGAAAAAATAGAAGATATACCTAATCGATGGCATGGTTATTAAGTAAAGTGTATAAATGACATGACAATGCCACCCCATCTCATATCTCACCCTTATTAATGCAAATACATATGTATATATAGTCAACATATACCTAATCAAGAGAGAACTTGAGCAATGAACAAAGTCATGTTATTGTATGATGATCATGACATGTATTATACCGACAGATGGCATAAGGGATGATCTGATGAAGATGGCGATGACGATTACTTGGTCAAGCTCCATAGATCATTATCGTTGCAGTAGAGCTGTGAGTTTTGATTTGATCTCTGCAAATTTAAATGCGATAATTGAATACCATCATCGTGACAAAGACTGTAAACCGCATTAGGGTCACTATAACATGATAATACTTGCTTGCTTGTCTCTACTTCAACACTTAGCTGGGATGCTACCAGTTGGTCCAGTGTGACCCACTCATTATTACTACCACCATCACCGCTACAACCACCACCGGGTTCGGTTTCGGTCATAATATCATCCATTGACTGGTAACAGAGAGAAGGGAGAGTTGGGCTTTCTAGCCTGGGGAGATGCATGAACCCATCGCTCATTCCTACGTTGTTTGGAACAAACATTAAAGGATTACTTTTGTTGGTCGATGAATCGGTCTCCATCTTACATGTCCGTCCCATGTAATGAAGAATTTGGTCCAGAACACCATCGTTGCCTCCTGAGCAAACCATATGTGTCTGACAAGTGGAAGATGAACTTTTTGGACTCTCTAGCGCTTTCAGATAATTCTTCTTTCTGAATACACGGCAAACCACCCATCCATCCTCACCCACGGACTCTCCAATGGGAGCCTGTACACGTCCATATTTGTACCAATTGCTTGATTAAGATGAATATAATCCAATATTTTACTATACTATTCTATATATGCATACATATACAGATCCATTAATAGATATTCATGTTATTATATCTTATGTGAGTTCAAATCTCAACCTTTGTCTTGGAAATGTAATACCTCTCTACTTAATTAAATTTATATACATTAATAGGGACGAATACAAGATTTTATATTAGCATAGACAAACTTATAAAATTTTAGGTTGCGAAAACATATTATCAATAGAAAATACACATAAAAAGACTAAAATATAGAAGAATTTAAAAATTTTAGGAGGCGATGGCCCCACCACCCCGGTCCATCCTATATACATACATACAATATAGATTAAGGTTATTTGTATCATACCTCCTCAAACTATGAGGTTATATTCTAACTTGGCCCTCAAAATTTCACTATGTTCTAATTAAATCTTTAAACTAAAATATCATTCCAGTCAAATCTTTCCATTAAATATCAACTTGAAAATCAAAAATGTTTCAAAATAATTTTAACGTCAAAGATGGTTGTTAAACTTATGCAAGTCTTGATTGGAGCTATACTTTTAAGGATTCAAGAGAAAAAAATTAAAGTTTAAAGATGATTTAGAAATGTAAAAAAAAGAAGATCAATTTTGAATTTGATTAATAATTTGAGGGCATCTAATACAATTAGTCCTATAGACTATAGAAAAAAAAAGTCAAAAGAGGGTTACTTACATTAGACTCATTGGAAGTGTTATCGTCAAGCCTATACTCGTGCATGATCCAGTCAGATTTTTGACCGTGTGGAGCTCTTCCTTTATAAAAAACCAACGTCTTCCTCAACCCAATTCTTTTAAAACCACTATATATGATCTTGTCACGGCCAGTCGCTTTCCAGAATCCGGCAGCCGTGGCACGATTCGTTCGGGTTCCGGTCGGGTATTTCTTATCCTTATGGCTGAAGAAGTACCAATCATTTTGAGGGGTGGATCCTATTCTACACTTCTCTGCATATCCCACAAAGTAAAACAAGAATTTTTATTAATAAAAAATAATTAAACTCAAATGAAAAAAAAAATGTTTTTACCTTGAATATCCCATGGCTCAAGCTTATTGAGATCAACTTCCTGGATAACATCAAGGTCTATCTTTTCAAAAGCGACTTTCTTTCTGAGATAATAGTGAAGAAGCTCTTCTTCAGTAGGATGAAACCTAAAGCCAGGAGGGACCTGAGACTGACCATTTATGGATAGATTCATGTCTATTTCTAATCTCTTAGAAATTAAAGCTGGAGAGCTTAGAGAGGGAGAAGAGAATAACATAAAGAGAAAACGAAGGGGAAAGAGAAGGGTGCGTTAAGGGTAATGCAGTCATGGTAATTTATAATGGTGGTAGGGCATCGTATACTCCAAATATGCATGAAAAGTTTTGGTATCATCTGGCCATTGAGCCTGAGGTTTTATGCCTTTGATAAGACCCAACCACCTAAAAACTAAACCACCGTACGTGGAACAAGGAAATAATACAAAATAAACATTTAATATTTAATGCACCCATAGTCTTAAAGTTTTGCAAGATCAATAATAAAATAAATACAAGTTTTAATGGACTGACCAAGTACTGTTGAATGAATTAAAAATAAGATTTAATATAAAGATAATTGTTTAAAATTTACTTATTTCGTCTACATATCTAAATTATTTTTCGATCAATTTAAATATCTTAATTTACAAATCTTATCAATTTTAGTGTCACGACTATAATAGTTGTTAAAAGAGTCTGTTAAATGACATTGCATTTATATAATTTTGAAAAATTTTATTTATTTAAAATAAAATATTATATTTTTAAAAATATTATTTGAAAAAAAAACGGCACAATCCCCCAACCCGTGTCATCCCTGCCAAACTCCCACCCCCAACCCCAACCACCTGCGTTCTGCTTGCCATTTTCCCAATTTGCCGAGCAGCCAAGCCAATAGGTAGCCAAACACCGACTGTCATAGTAATGGCCCACCGTAGGAATTTAGGAGATTTTTAGTGTCACACACCAAATTAGGTCTTAAATTTTTTCTTAAAATTAATTATGGGGATTAAATTAAAATTTTAATTAAATTCGAGGACCAAGGTGAATTTTTAATCAAAATTCAAATTCAAATTCAAATTCAAATTCAAATTCATAAAGTATCAAAAGTTTGAGGACCTAAGATGTAATTATACCAATTTTTCGAATATGTTGGTTTTAAAAACCCAAAACCCTGAAATATTCCATTTTTGGAAAGTTTAAACGTCGTTCTCTCTTACCTTTTCTTTTTTAGGAAACAAACTTCAAAAGATGTTTCGTCGTCGATCGTAGCTTCGTTTGCTACACCTCTCATATCATTGTGATCCTTGTGTCGTCTCGAGCCCTCTAATGTCTGTTTTATCTCCATTGCCGCTGATGTGTGAAAGGGTGAGGAAGGAAAAGTTTCCGATGTTGCGAAATTGAACTCTCCGTCGTTCATCGTTATGAACCGAGCTTGGTAGTTGTGTTTCTCCCGATCGAGGGTTGACTAGTTCTGGTGCTTCCCGTCTGACAGATTCGCATGATTCATATACTTCAAGAGTTACTAGTAGGTTTCCGTAAATTATTTAAATAGAGGTTATTATTTTTCATATTAGGATTATGATATAGTTTTTTCGATTCGTATGATCTACCTCTGCCGTTGATCATGATAGGCAGACCTAGTAATAGGCTACCCGTTCAGACTACTTAGACCGATACAGGTGTGTTTCCATATGGTGTTACATTACTGTTTTGAACTACCTATCCGAATTGTTTTAGAATTCTGATGATACTGAATATTTTTACGACATGATATCTAATTTTCTTAATACCGTTGATTTGATATATGATTTACCATATATTTCTGATATGATATCTGGTTATTGTATTTTTTTGTTTGATTTCTGAATATGAAATATTTTCATGTTTTAATGTATTAAACTATCATTTTCACTCGAATAGATACATGTTTATTACTGTCATGGGGGTATTATAGGATGAAGTATCTTAGGTCTAGTTTATGACTTGTAAGACCTTACCGCAAGCTCATCTGCTTTGTGCACAGGGTAAGTCCTTACCACAGGTCATTATGCTATACGTATAAAGTCCTTACCGGGAGGACATGTGGGTGTATGGTTTAGGGGAACCTACACATTCTGATGATCAGATGGGGGTAGTGTTCATGTTTTCAAAACATGTTTGATGAACTGATTTTTATTCGAAGTATTTTATCTGTATGTTTTTATACACTGCAAGGAGCACACTGCGCTTTTAGCTCACTTTTTAAATTTTTAACATTTTCAGATAGTAGCACACAATAGACTAGTAGACTTGCCATCAGGAGGACCGACCACTCCTCATCTTTATACCAATGTATATCTCTATATGCCATTTTTGTTATACTTTGGTGGCACATGTTTTTGCTATTGTTTTGATATATATGTATTACCAATATTTTGTTCTGTATATGTTTTATACGGTTTTTCCTATATATATATATATATATATATATATATATATATATATATATATATATATATATATATATATGTTTACCTATAAACCTTACAGATGATTAGTTTCATATTATATTGTTATATGGATTTCAACTATATTTTAAATATGCAAAGAACTTCTGAATACAATATGTGACCGCCTAAATTCGATCGTAACGTTCAGACTGGGTCTAGGGGCTTACATTTAGGGATTTGAATGTTTTAGATTTTAGGGATTTAGGTTTAGGAATTTAGGGGAGTGGGACGACGACTGATCACTGAGTAGCCGGTGACCACTGGGGTAGCTGTTCATCGACAACTGGCGATGACCATGGCAGTAACCATGGCTGGCGTTTGGATTTTGGAATTAAGATTTTTAATGTATTGAGGTTTTTTAGATTAAGAAAATTTTTATTTTTTTAATTATAAGTTTTAAGTTTTTTATTTTAAATAAAAATTTTAAACTTCTATAAACGTGACATGTGGTAGCTAACGAAAATTTTTAACAGTCGTTACGATTGAGACACTTAAAATGAGAATGTTTGTAACATTAAGCACATAGATTGGCGGAAAAATAGTTTAGGCACCTAAATGGAAAAAGAATATAGTTTGAGCACTTATTTTTACATTAAGCCTAAAAATAAATATAAATAATTTTATTCATGATGAAATATAACAAGTTTATTATAGTTTAGAGTGATTACAAGGTAGTATCTGATCAGGATCTTTCTTAATCATTGACAATGCACACACATTTTGCAGACAAAAGTGCTTGAAATCATTACTTCTAGAAAGTACAAAGTAGAAATTTTTTAAGGGGCGTGACCGCACTCCCAACACCCTTTTATTCATCCATGGTAGTTAATAGGAGTATACATTCTTTATCACATTTGATTTTTCCTTTTAAAAGACCCAAATCTAAACTCATTCATACATATAAAATATGTTGCTCGAACTTATGAAATCAAGGGAGAACAAAATTCTATTAACCATTGGGATCACTCCAATAGTTCTCTTCAAAAAAAATTAAATTTATCGCTAATACAAGTTTCTAAATTAAAGTCCTTTTTAAAATGCTTAGAAGTTGCATAAATATGTGATAATAAATTTGCATTTGAAATATTAACGGCACATAAAATTATTAAGTGTAAATAACAAGTATGACCACTTAACTATTATCCCTTTTCATTTTGACCATCAATTTTGAAATTATGACTAAATTGATAAAATATTTAAATATTGAGGACCAATTGTGTAATTATACTATTTTTAGCAGTCACATCAGCTCCTCTATTAAATATTATTGGTTGGTGGTTTGATTGGAACACTTAAATAATTAAGTGATTTGACTGACAAAATTCAAAATTAGTGGTCAAAATGTAAAAAGTCAATATTTAAGTGGTGATACGAATAGCTTACCCAATTATTAATTATAGAACGAGGATATATTCTGATATTTGAATTTGATTTCAAGTTGTAGTTTACTTAAACTTTTTAAGTCCAATAAATACATAATTTGGCTTTAAAGTTCATTTTAGAACTTAATTTTTGTCTCCCATTAGGTATTTGAATTTGACTTGTTGGTTTAAATTGATACCTAAACTTCATTTCTTCTTTCAAATTGGTACTTACAATAATTTTTTATAAAATAATTTGAGCCTAACAGTACAGTTTAGGTACCTAATTTGAGAAAAAAAATTAGATACAAAATTAAACTTTGAGACTAAATTTAATTTCCCAATTGGACAAAAAAAATTACTTGCCAAATTACACCTTGAAGTCAACTTCAAGTATAAAAAATATATATTTATCCAATTAAAAGTAAACTGTATGATTCGAAATCTTGGTTTCGGGATTCTTTTTAAAATGAGTAGAAGTTATAAAATTTTCTAAATCAGATCTAATTTCTAAAAGTTTTTAATTTTAATAAGTAATAATAGATCAAAATTTCACAATTATATATATGGGTTTTTTTTTCAAGCGAATATATTCTCATGTCGTACTTTTAATCTTAACCATATATTTTCAATCATCCAACAGTCATAAATCTGTGTAAAACTAAAACAGTTTTACATTGTGTAATAGGATCCTATCCCTATATATATAATGCAACTATTAACCCGAAATAAGAGTTAATCATATCACACGTTCTCAAAGCATGACTCTTATTTTAAATTGATTCTTAAATTTTTAAATATTCCAATTTCATCCTTTAACTGTGACTATCATTTTGAATTAGTCCTCAAACTTTTAAAAATTTTAATTTAATCCCCAAACTATGACCTTCAATCTAAATTGATCCCCAAACTTTTTGAGCATCCCAATTTCATCCCAAACTATACATATATACTAATCACAACCTTGTTAATAAAATCGTTAGGTCAAGTTATTTTATTATATGTTTGGATAAAAACAAAATTTTACGTTAAATTATGGTTGAAATTAATTACATATTTGGATGAATTTTGGGATGAGATTGGAATATTCAAAAGTTTGGGGACTAATATTGAAAGGGGTCATAGTTGAGGGATGAAATTAGAATGTTCAAAATTTTAAGGACTAATATTGAAAGGGGTTGAAGTTCGCGTTGCGATTTATTACAAGTTCGTTGCGATAGTCGAAGTTCGCGTTGCAATTTATTCCAAGTTCGTTGCGATAGTCCAAGTTTGCGTTGCGATTTATTCCAAATTCGTTGCGATAGTCCAAAATCGCAACGACTGGCGGTATTGCATTTGTTTCTTAAGAATTTTCTCTAAAAAGATAATATTCGCGCGGACGTGTCAAAG